GGTATCTCCTCGTCAGGGATGTCTTCGAGAAAGACCACGACTACGAATTCGGTCTCGGTGTCGCTCACATGGTCCATGGCGATGCGGAGTTTGAGCATGAACCAGCGATCGTGCACGGCAGCTCTGCTGAGTAGAATGAGTGTTTTGTAACTATGACTCACCACGTAGTCGACGGCGTCCAGATAGTGCATACCAGGGATGAGGTCTTGATCACCAAAGACATTCCTCTGGAACTGCGGAAGCCGTTCTTCCAGAGCTGGTTGGAATTGTTGACGAACCCATTCTTCGTCGTCATCGTAGAAAATGATATTCAAGTCATACTCGTAGTCGTTGTAGTCCCGGGCGTCTCGCATCTCTTTATATCCAATTACCATTAGTTTCAAGAGAAAGAGTTTTTGCTTCAACTGCCATCGGTTGTGATAAAGGACTACGACGATGACAACCACGATAATGCCGGCGAGAGGAGTCAAGCATACAAGAGCAATGTTGAGTCCACAGAGTTTACTGGTATCAAAATTAAGCAAAGGTTTTCCGCGAAGAGGCTCTAAAGAGGCCAATGAACAAACGGTTCTGTCCTCGTCAATGACGACAATATGTCCAATCATCCAATCGCGGAACCATCGTATATCACAGTTACAGCTGAAAGGGTTCGATGAAAAGTCTAAAGATAGAAGCGAAGATTTTATCGGTTCAAATGTCGTTTGGTTGAGACGGGTGAATCTATTGTTTGATAGCAAAAGAGTAGTCAGTCTGGGATTGTTCGAGAATAGTTGTTCATCGAGGTATGTCAAAAGGTTGCCATCAAGATTGATAATTGTCACTTGATCTAACATTTTGAATATATCAAAATTAAGTTGTTGAATCATGTTTCCACGTAAATTTAGCACCCGAAGCGATTCCAATCCCGTAAAAGCTAATGGATGAAGGCCTGAAATATGACAGGTTTCTAAACTAAGTTTCTGGAGAGCAGCGAGTTGTTCAAAGATCCTAGCTGGAAAGATAATTGGAAAGCGAATGTCAAAAGAATTGTCGCTCAGATCCAAAGTAATAAGTTTTGACAATCCGTCAAAAAGAGAGACATTCAGGGTTTTATCCCATAGATCACCTGTCGACAGATACGATTTACGGATTTCCAAATCTTGAATGCCTTGTGAGTCTTTGAGGAATATTCTAGGGGTCGTATAGGTCGAAGGGATGTTCATGTTATTCATGGAAAGGGTTGTTAAGTTCGGGGCTACCGGTCGAAATGTGGACATACTGCATTGGTTCAAGTCGATGGTTTGAATTCCTGTCAGTTCCGAAAACGACGTGATTTCCAGGACAATAAGGGCTTTGTTAAAGCTCAGATCTAACAGCGTTATATTTCGCAAACCGAGAAATGCGGATTCTGAGATTGTTGTCAAAGAATTGCCGGTTAAGTACAACACATTCAAGTCCAGTGCCCATACGTCACTATTTGGGTTTATATATTTTACTTTATTGTTGTCCAAGCTCAATACTTTTAGCTCCCGCATGCCTTGAAAGAATACCGGTTCAACAGTGGCGATATTGTTTTGCGATAGATCAAGTTCCACGAGTCTTGTCAAGTTTGAGAACACGTATGGAGAGAGGGATTGGATCTCATTGCCCGATAAGCTTAGAAAAGTAAGAGAGCAATTACGGAAGAAATCTCGTGGCAAGACTGTGAAATTTGTATAAATTATAGCGAGCCCCACTTTTTCAGAGCGACAGATTCCGCTATAAATATCCTTCAGTATCTCAAATGCCAACGGGTAGTCTCCAATATCCAGTGATCGGACACGCAACGATGCAATAACGTTCGGGTCTACTGATTTAATATGATTCCCGGTCAGATCAATATAATCACTTTGACATCCGAAGATGAAAGATTCTGCCGTGAGATGCTCGATTTCATTAAAAGTCAAGCGAACATTCTTTGCCCTGCCACAAAGGCTCATGTTAACGAAAGTAAGTCTGTTGTTCATTAGGTTTATAGTCTCTACAGACGGGCTCCATTTGAGAATGTCGTTTGGAAGCAGTTTCAGATTCGAATCAGACAGATCCAGGATGGACAGGTTCTTAGACCACCTGAACAGGCCTGTAGCTGGGAGAACAAGATTAGGGGGCAATGTATTAAATGAGAAAGTTTTCTTTGTTTTTATAAGAAATAACAGCCCATTTGAAAGACTTATTGTTTTATTTTGTGTTGGCGTCTACACCATCCAGATTTATAGTAGTAGAACAATTCTATGTTATCAGTAGTAGTCCAAGTACTTCACTCGAAATCGTGGAAAAGAAAAAGAGCTTATTGGCAAGAAAGAAATTCTCAATTGAAAGAAAAGATATTGAGCTGATGTAGAATAACTGTGTAAATCTAAACAAGCAGTTTGCGATAATACAATCATTTAAAGTAGAGGTATGTTGCGATAAATTTAAAACTTCATAACCCTTGTGTAAGAGTCCACGTCGTTTTTTTTTCACATACAGCAAAGTAAGACAACAAATCGTAAGGAAATAAGAATCACTCGTTCATTTCAATTTTTGTATTGTCAGAGTTCGCTTCACTTTTATATTTACCTTAGCTTTAAGAAAGATCAATAAAGTATTCCAAACAAGGTCTTCTGTGGCTCTGAGATTCTGGCAATAACGGCTGACTTGGTTCGGAGAAGAATCAATATACACCTCTGCGAGAAGAGCTTCATAAAAGCACATTGGTTTATACGCCCTGTTAAAACCATCTTTGATGAATGCTCCGATGTTTCGATTTGAGAGCAAAACAAGAATATTTTAATCCAGGCAGCACATTTCCTGAAATCAAAACATCCTATTTCTGCTGGAAAGTGAAACTGTATACTGTACTTTACTAAATGCTAAGTCATTTTATTTGTCTAGTATAGTCTGAACATAATTAAACTTTCGGGAAAATACCGAGGCAGTGTAGAATAATTTCTCCATTATTGAATATCTTGATTTATATACAGTGCGTATAACAAAAGAGTACCCAATTTTGTTAGCTTCTAATTTAAAATCGATAACCTATGTGACGTTGAATCATTAGTCATAGTAAATAGTAACTAATACCCTGTCTAATGATGCCATATTCCTAAATGTGCTGCCACGGATGACTGAGCAGCAGGCTTTTCAAAAAGTATTGTCAAAATCCTCTTATAAGCTTGGGCTGAAGCAATGAATTTCAGTCAAAAGCCATTACGTGTGTATTATCTCATTCCCCCAAAAATGACTTATTTACATTGACTATTAGGAAGTTGAAAAGAAAAGGTGTTAATATCAACTCGAACTCAAGGAAATGCTTATTTCTACCAACATTTATGATACTCTTTTTGATATGATGATTACAATCTTGACTCTATTAGCATCCCTTTATAAAGGTAACCCTTCTTATTGAGAGATACAAAATGGTTAAATTTTATTTGGGATGTTATCCTTTGTATAAAAGTCTACTGTCAATTTCTTTGATACTTATCATCATATGTGTTCTTTGCATTTGGTTTTAGTTTCCTTTGAGTTTTCATTTGCTTTTCGAGATAAACACATTGGCTCGAATTCACAAAGGAGGTTTAAATCTAATCAATGGATTAAGCCTCCTTTAGATCATGGTTTAGACCATGGGTTATCATTTTACAATTCACAAAGGAGGTTTAAATTTGTCCCACGGTTTAACAGCGTCATATGACGTCATATTTTTAGCCTGTTCAGAGGTGGGGGGGGGGGGGGTTTAAAAAGCGGGTTAAATTTAACCCACGGTCTATATAAAACCATGGGTTAAATTTAAACCTCCTTTGTGAATTCGGGCCAATATGCTCATTACGCATGCGAGATGGCGCAGCGGACATTGTGAGCAGAGAGAACTTAGATATCGTAAGACAAGAAGTTAGTAGGCTCAGGAAGCTGTAATGAATGGAGATCCCGTCCAAGAGGCCCCTTTGAAGTCATCCGTGGCACCGCGCGTCTTTTGTTTCCCCTACCGTAATCCCCTTAACCCCCCTCCAAAACCTTACAGCTCCCTAGTAGCACTAAGTCCTCCCTTTCCACACACAGCCCAGCCCAGCGAGCACGGCGGCTTTTGCTTTGCCGGCCCGTACTTTGGGTGAATAGTGGTGCTAACTTGACAACTTCTAGCCCTAAATCAATAAATGCGCAAACATACAACACAATTTCATTTAGTTCTTTAGGAAGATAAACCTTTGGACTACCTTCCTAGCTATGTACAAATTTCGGAAATTTTCGGAAAATGTCAATAATTAGATGAGAAAATCATGATTATGAAAATCTTTCATTCGCTCTAACTCATGATTTCCTTGGTCGATTTCGCTGGTTAAAATGGCCATGTCTTCAGTAGAGCTATCCGAGAACGGAAGACGCATTTGATGACTAATAGAAAGTTGCATTGGTCATAATGTTGTGAATTCTGCATTTTATATGTTATAGCTAAATACATCTTCCATGAACATGACTTAATTTGTCGGTGCCACGCATGGCTTCAAAGCCCGATGCTTGCATATTTTTGCAAACGAGTGAATAGAGAACTTAGGGAAACAGATGGCGTTGCGTAACATTTCGTACTATTTGGAATGCCAGAGAGGGACTGTGCATTGATATGGACAGCTGTTGATGGAAATGATGGCTGGAGAGGGTTACATTTCTTTTTGTTAAGCCAGGTTAATCTTGAATAATTTTCCCTCAGAAAATTCTTTCGAGACGGTATCTCCATTCATTACAGCTTCCTGGTAGGCTGTTCAAAATAACAAGGCTCTGTGAAAGTCTAGATTCATTGCGTCATTTTAAACAATGATGCACTGAAGCACGGGGCATAATTTAACTTCTGGATGGATTTAAGACCAAAGAAGAACATGCATATGGCCTGACCCGAATTCGTTCCATTTAATGCCAACGGAAACAATGTATAAGTGTCCGGACAACCCAATTTCTTTGAGAGACTGATTCATTCCTTACCATACAAACCAGGAATGAGAATCAGAATGAGGAAACGAGTGGGCTCAGTTGGTAAAGCGTCTGTTTGTCGAATTAAAGATCGTGGGTTGTAATCCCACCCAGGCGGATGACTGAACTCACTGAAGCCTGCGTTGTGTGTTAACGTGTCGCTCCACTGTTTCATATATACACAAGCTAGGTTGCAGTGGAAAACATTCAGTCCCTCGGATAAGACGTTAAAAGGTAGCCCCGTATAGAGGAGAATCACCACCTTTGCAAGTTAAGAACCCACTGCACTATTCCTATAATAGTGGGGGGGGGGGGGGAGGAGAGTCCGTTGTAGATATCCACCTCCACATCCCTAATCAGTTATACCAGGAGGGGAGACCGGAGGGTCACAACAGTTTGCCCCTCCCAGGCATAGGGGACGCAATGATAACATTAGTAATACAACATATGAATAATTAAAAGATAACTTTATACAAATATTAAATACATACTACTATACAGAAATATATATCAGTGGCGTAGCTACATCGGGGAACAGGGGGCGCCTGCCGTGACCCCCAGCCCCTCCAAAAAGTTCCGATGCCCGCTCATGATCTGGACCCACCCTACGCCACTGTGCAAGCCGACATTTACACCGTATTTTTTGTGTCTTCTTTCACAATGTTTCTCAAAAATTGTGTGTGTGTATGTGGGGGGGGGGGGAGGGGAGGTGGGGGTAGCAGTGAACCTTTACACATGCAGGGCCTTTGTTCTGGAATACTCTCCCTCGAGAGATTAGAAATAACGGATCAGTCGAAGTGTTTAAAACAATATTTAAAATAGTTTGATTTGGCTTATAGTTAGTTGTGCCTTTCTTCTTATGTCGATTTCATATATCTATCAATCTCTATATCCTTGCTTTTGTTGTTTTGGTTATTACTATTTGTTGTCGTGTAGTTACGTAGCATCATTATTATCATTATTATTATTATCATTATTATTATTATTATTATTTCCCCAGATCTGTGCCCGAGACAGAACGTAACCGACCTAAAGGGCACCTTCGAATGGGACTACACCCCCGCGGGGGAGTACGCCTTCTTACCCTGCCCTAATGGGGGCTGGCTGGAGGAGTACTTCCCCACCGCCCCTCCCATGATGATAGCCTACCGCCCCTGCTATCCACCCATGGTAAGAAAGGGGCTGAGGCAGCTGTTCTACGACGGGGCTTTCTGGGGCGAGCCGGTGACGGACATCTGTCGATGGAGCTCGGAGACGAGATGGATGCTGGATGAGATCCGCAAGGCGATCAGGGAGGAAATCTTGGATATGGTATGTCAGCAGGGTGTAGCAATAATATTAATGATAAAAATGATAATAATTTCTTTTTTATACTATGATTAATAATAATGATAATGATAATTTCATTTTGTATTTTATTCATAATAATGATTCTCTTAAATGAATGGAATGTCGTGACCGAGTGGTTTAAGGCGCTTGACTGGGGATCCAAAGGTCGATAGCTCGAAACCCGACACGGCACTAATATCCTTTGGCAAGATATTAACATGTACTTGCTATATATGAACATGACAGACAATGAAAGCGGACAAAATATACAGTTCCTCAGGAAAACAAAGGAACATCCCTTCACTGCTATTATGTAAAAATGTGTAGAACAGGTGAATATGCATGTGACACCTGTTCTACACATTTTTACATAATAGCAGTGAAGGGATGTCCCTTTGTCTACCTGAGGAACTGTATATTTTGTCCGCTTTCATTGTCTGTCATGTTCATAGTGATTCTCCACCCAGGTGTCAAATGGGTACCCGGTAGGTTGCGACCGTTAATGTTGGTCAAACAGTTTTTGAGCGTTAAGGAACGCCTGGCTGGAATGCTCCCCAGGGAGTGGAGATTTTGCACACAGTGTGTGCGGGCAAGCATTGAATCCAATGACCTGGGTAATAGTATATCTGTAAAGTGCTTAGAGACATCGTATTAGGCGCTATATAAGAGCGGAATATTATTATTATTAATGCCTGTCGCACACGGGGTTATCTGAATGATTTTACTTTCACATGACCGCAGCAGTTACTGGTGAAGTCCTACGTCATGCAAGTATGCCTCCTCTGCAATCTCCTTTGATTTGTCGATCACTATATTGCGTCAATCTCCTTAGATCCGCAACACTCCCAGCAACAACTTCAACAGTAACAACGTCACCCGAATCATCTACCACCTCCGTGAAGCCAGTCTCTTGATCAACTCTGTCCCCACCGACTACCTCACCGAAGTTGACGTTCTCATGGTCGCCTCGGTGATCGACACCTCCGTCAGCGCCGGCGTCGAGGGACTCTACACCGTCACCTCGGAGCTTGGGCAAGAGGTTGTCAACTTTGCCGACCGCATCCTGGACATTGATATTTGGACGCTGCTGAAGGCCCACAGCTCTTGCCTCAGGTACGAAGGTTCAAAGTTCTGCAGGCCCAGGCTCTTATTCGACATTTTACCAGAATTTATAAAGCCTTTAATTGAGCAGAGCCTAGATTTGTCAGTCTCTGGCCGTGTCCGGAGCAGCTACAGTAATGAGCTAATGTAACATGCCGTGCAGCCTAGTCTCACGTGCAGACACTGTTAGGACATCATAAGGAATAACAGGGGTTTGTGGCTGCAAACTAGTTCGATCGACTTACCCATTGCAGATAACCAGACATTTAAAAGGCCCATTAAATTTTATGTGTCCAAATAATCCTACAAGAAGAAGTTGTTGGAAGATTTTCTGTCATGACACATGTCATGATCGTCGAACGATTCGAGGTCGAGCCATGATTAGGAGAGTTTGGCCAACCCGGTTTCGATTTGGGCACAATATGGCGAATAGCCCTACCGTGTTGTTGGGCAATCCCACGAATATGCGCCATGTTGATTGTGACCAAGCGATACTTAGATGGCCTAACCGTATGTATAGATGGCTCTGAACGATTCGTGTAAAAAGCAACCTCTTTTAATTAGCCATACATGATGATCTCATCAGTCTTTTCTTTCTGTTTTTATATCTCTCGATCCATTACCCCTTTCTCCACTCAATCTCTTCACCACTGTCTCTATCGGCACACATTCTCTCTCTCATCGACCAGCCAACCTGCCCTTCCTGTTCTTCAAGAATCTTTCCGCACTCTTCTTCGTGTTTCTGCCTGTTAGTTAGTCCTTATTTGTGCTTCAATTAATCACGACACACATTTTGTTCTTCTTTTTGTAACCTTCGTTAGCATTCAGAACATAAGAATATGCGCCCTTGGTGTACCGATAATTGTTCCCTCAATTGCATCGCTATTGATTAAGCCTGCACGATCTTTGGGGGGATCGGCATTCATGTAGTTATCGATTAAAAAAAATCACACAAAAAGTATCATTTAAGCATCTTTTCCGAGTAATTTAATTACATCAGATTGCGTGCTTTACGCGGTCAAAAACTCTGAAAGATTAATGGACGTCTTGTGATAAAGGGGGATGTTGGTCTTTTTCAGCTTCTACGCAATACCAATTTTGTTATCTGTATTCGGGTGAAGGTTGAAAGAAATTCATGCACTTCGCGGCTGGTTTACTGATCGGATTAAGAGATCATTTTGATTCTATATTTGAGACACAAAGTCCCAGTGTCAATATCATATCACGTGACTCTTATCCATTATTGAGACGTTTTTTCTACTTTATTTTGTTGAGTGATGTATAATAATAATAACAATATTGAATATTTAGGAGCGCTAAAAACTAAAAGAAGTACCATAGCGCTTACAAATACAATATATGAAAAGAGGACAGAAAAGTACAGTAGAGGAAGTAAATCACATAGATCATTGGGGGAAAAGGTGTATAGTCTACTTTAACCTGTCTATCACGGCTACTCAAGGGTTATTGATACTATTTCTTTATTCATAAATAGTAGAATACATACGGAGTACATATAATAAATCCAACATGGTTCGAGAAAAGAACTAACAAAAAGTGGCCATACGTGATTAGCCAGTGTAGACATATTTTAAAACACGCATTTCCTTCTGGAGGGGGTAAACATGGGTCATCATTATAGACAGTTGCGTTTCCAGACAGTTTTCTTCTGTTTTTGTACAATGTAATCGCGTTACCTATATACTGAACATTATCCTTTTGCTAAAAATAAAAATAATAATAATTTTCCAACTTTATTTTCCTTCTTCATATCTAGTATTGCTGATAATCTCGAAATCTGCACGGAACGCGTCAAGATGGGTATACTCGGCGACAAACTGACGCATTACGGTCGCAATCTTTACATCGAAGTCGAGCAGACGACACCTGAATAATTATGTCGAACATTCACCCAACAGATGGGTGGTGGCACCAGATACTGTGGGGACTTCTGAACCGGAACCAGTTGTCTCCATTGACTTCCCATGGGGAAAAATTGCAGGTGAGAATGGGGAATGGCGGAAATCTTATATATACATTGTATAATCGTATACATCAATCAATGTATCTGTATTATCTTTTCAATTATGCACCACAGCAAAACAAAAACAAAACAAACAAAAAACAACAACAACACATTATGCAGGAAATGTATGGTGTATAAATTTTAAGCTTTCAGAAACATTTTTTTTTAATAATTATTATTATTTAAATAAATACTGTGCGAACAGTACAATTATATATTACATAATCCGAAGATGATTTCTATACGCAATTTGACCGTAAGTAGATTTTCGAAAGTCCCCGTTCTCTTGGTCAAAATAGGTTCAGACAAATTCATGAAAAGGAGAATACTATAGAGATATCGACTGCTACGAGAGGACTGGTTGTTTTTATATGCTCAAGGGAAATTTGCCTCCGCTGCTATCACCACGAGGCGCGCCTGGGTGAGTGGCGCGCCTCGTGGTGATAGCAGCGGAGGCAAATTTCCGAGAGCAAGTATAGAAACAGCCTGTCCTCGAGTATTAAAGCAGTCGATATCCCTTTTATATGCCGAATTCAAACAAAAATCTACCACAAATTCTTACCTTATCCTTATATCGAGTAAAGATTGGTTAAAACATCATGGAAAATCGGAGAAAATGTATGTTTATCACCGTCGGAAAAGTTACTGAACTTTTCGATCAGTTCGGAATCGCAGACAAAAAGCACTCTTTGGTGTCCACGCTCGCTCAAAGAACATTTTAACACGTAAACCAATGGGTATCGCAGCAAGATTTTATTATTTTCCCGGTAACTGGAATTTTGGGGGATTTTACTCTTGAACATTTAAATGGTTTAGACATTTTTCGTTTCTTTACGGTAATGGCTAAAATCACGACTGCAATTTCGACCAATCAGATGGCTGGATTTCTTAAGTGAAGTATATAAAAGTATATATCAAACAAGAAAGGAGTTTCCATCAACATTTGGCCTATTTTGTCTTTTGTATTCCTGCTGTAAAACGACGAAATCAAACAGATGGAAGATCTCATAGAATTCGGGAGAGAGATCGCGAAACCAGGCGGAACAGGACTATCTTTGATGATCGGTTGAATAGGAGAGACCCTGAGGCGTATGCCGTACCTACGTCTATGCTGAGGACCCCCGCTATTGTTTACTACACAGGTATGATGAATGTGCCATTGTTATGGGGAGGATGATTTAGATATCTCGATGTATTTAGATACATACATATAGTAATTAAATATCTGATACACTAATTTGACACCGGTAATAGTAATTCTCAAGGATCTTTAATCCAACTGTTTAAATTACTACTTCATAATAACCCCCTCCGGCCTCTTCGAGACTTTTATTCGGAATGATCTTTGAGAAGAATAAATATCTATTATTCACTTGAACTAAGATTACATTTCATACATTATTATCAATACCTGTAATGAAACTATTTTTTCCAGTTTTAGTAGCTTAATGCATTTCCTTGTTTTTTATGAACTAAAGATTCCTCTATTATACTATCTTTTTCCTCTAATATGCTCACCGTCGTCATATAGGAAAATTCTTCGTGAGCGAGTTATCTCAGATCGCCCCCGTTGATGAAACTGTGCTGGTATACATCAAGGCATACAATGACGGTGTGCCGTTGGAAGAGATCCCCGAACCGCTCTCCATTACCTTCTATCATACGACTGATGGCCAGGTAACTAGAATATCAAACTTTGCGTTTTCAATCTCACCATACACATTCCCCGGATAAACCTTTTTTTTTTAAAGGAAAACAAAATAAAAAATTGCGCTTCTCTCTGCTTGCTGGGACCTTCAATAAATAATGAGGGTCTTTTAGGCATCACAGCTGATTAATGTAAAATAAAAAATATGATTTTGTTTCTTTGGAAATTAAGGGTAAAATATACATTGACAATTATTGTCAAGTCCGTTTCGAAAACGCTCTTTTAAATTCTGTAGGCTTATGTTAGGTATTTTACAATAAAGTGTGCTTAATGTAGTAATAACAGGTTTTTTTTCTTCTTCTTGATTTGCTTTTTTTCTCATATTAAGTAGGGGGGGGAATTAAAGGAAAGAAAATACTTAATTATTTCGGCAGAATAGGAGGTAATTTTAAAGTCCTGAAAGATTCATTTGCTACTCCTCCAATACAGAGATCCCTTCCAATTCTTGTTTGCTTGTTTTTATTTAAAGGACATTTCAAAGTTTAGATATTAAGGCTCTTCTGTTGAACAATCGATTAAATAAAATGTATATTCCGCATTAGTTTCCTTCGCCATCAAATCGGTTTTTTCTGTTAATTGGGAATGTTGCTCGATCAAAAATTCATTTGGAGATTTCACAAGTTTTTCTTTTGTTGGTTTTGCTTCGATTTATTACGTTCAAGTTCAAGTTCAAGTTTTATTGTCCAACATTTTACCAAAAATATAGACATACATATAAAATAAAAATTGTACAATACATGTAGTATATATGAGCACGTCTCAATGATTGTCAATTCATATAATAAATTAAGTAGAATGTGAGGAACCTATTAAAAATTAGTGCTTGTATGTTATAGGTCCGAGGTAAAATAAGTATTGTAAATGTTCATTTTTTGTAATGAGGGCAAACCATGAAGATTCTTATTAATAACGTAATGCGTATTATTGTTATATCTCCCCCTCCCCCCCCCCCCCCTGAACCGTCTCCTAGGGTGATCTACCAGACTGGGCTGGATTTGCCTGTGGATCAGCTCGACTCCATAGCTCTAGAGAACCTGTACCTGATCTTGTGCAGCATGGTAAGATCATCATCTTTTGTTGTGTACTCAACTATGTTTTCTACCTAACTATATATATTTAATTTATTCCTGGAGACCAGCCCTTGATAGGTCAATGGCCTCTGCTGGCTCCACTACATTCTCTATTCTAAATTTTAGGTGCTCTATATTCTTTTTTATATTGAATTATGCTATTTTCCTGTTTTGTTGTGTTAATCACATAGTGTTTGTAAACTGTTATATATTTTTTTTGGATAATGATAATAATAATTGATAATAACGATATTAACAAAGATATACCATTCCTTTCACGTATTATATCTTCTTCTTTTTTCATTTTCGGCAGTTGAACTTGAATGGGACTCTTCGTACTGCACGATGAATTTTACAAATGATAACTACACAGTCTGTATGTGTACCGTCTTAGAAATCATTGGTCTGATAAAGGATGCAATACCAACACAGGAACCGGTAGGTTTTACCTCCGAATATCAAGTAATGATTTAGCAATCTTTAAGGGTCGTAAGGTCGGTTATTAATTGTATTACGTCATCATCTTCCTATCAAAAACCTCGATGGCAAGATAACTGTTTATCACTCTACCCCCTTAATACTATAAACATCAACATCATCTTCTTCACCATGATCATTTTTGCCCCCACTCCGATCGTAGGCCTACCCATCACTAGCAAAATAATCGTCACCACCATGTCGTCGTCGCCATTCTAATCATCATAAACCAATACTATGTTAATCCAAGCACTTTGATGGTTACCACCCTCTACCATTGCCAATTGAAAAAAAGTATATGTTTGATGCTCTCCAAAGGACTTCAGAAACTCTGGAATTGTTCGTAGTAAATCCCAGAACAGAACAAGTAGTGAATAAGTAGATGTAATTGGATAGAGTTTATCTTCATGTAACTCTTTTTTTCTTTGTCTGTTTTGTATAGACCACACCAGAAACAGCACCCGGACCACTTGAATTCATTGTAAGTTTATAACAGTACATCCTTTTTCTTGACCCATCTTTGTTACGAGTTTTCCTCCAATAAATAAAAAGAAACCATATCCTCCAAGAAAACAAACATTACGACCGCATTTTGCTTCATGTTAAGAATTGTGAGGTAATAAGGCATTCATTTACATTTGCCTCTTTAGACCCAGGTGAAGGTAGGAAATCCCCTAATGCTGTGTGCGCCGAAATCGGCATTGCCTTGCTATAGCTAAAGCACCTTGAGTGCTGGCTATGAGCGCCATAAAAATATCAAAAATTATCTATATTATTGTTATTCTTATTGAACTCAACTGTATCGGATTAGAGCCATAATACATGTATTATGCTGAAATTGTATAGTATTAATGACTCCTTTGAGAGAAATAGTTGTTTTTATACGCTCAAGGGAAGGTTAGAATTGTGCTATTACCCGAGGCGTGCCGAGGGCAATAGCCCAATTGTAACCTTCCCGAGAGCGTATAAAAACAACTTTTTCTCGAATATTAAAGCAGTCATTAATACTTTTATATGCCGAACAAAAATAGACTAAAAAATAAAAAATAAAAAATAAAAAAACTTTTGTCGAAGATGGGATTCGAACTCTTGCGTACAAAAGGTGATGTAACTAAAATCAGCGCATTAAACCTCTCGGCTATCGCGCTCTGTTTCCTCATTTCGCAGTTTTCTCTAATATATACATTAAAATGGATTGACAACGGCTTCGGTGGTGGATGCTTCGCTTCTGCTCCATTAAACGGGCCCTTCTTTTACTTTTGCAATGCATATTGGCACGAACTTAGATCAAGATCTATCGGCAGATGTTGTTTTTTTGTTTTTGGAAGTTTATTTTCGTCTTCATGTCAACAATGCAAGATAAAATTGTCGGTAAGATCGATCGAGATTCAATTGTATTGAAATTACCGACCAATTCTTCGCACACGTACGGTATCCTCCATCGCTCAGACCATTTTTTTAACATGTAAACCTATGGGGTAACCATGGAGACTGACCTATTTTCCCAATAACCATGGTTATTGGGATTTTGAACTGTTTTAACCATGGTTACCGGGAATTTTACAGGAACAGTTGAAGTTTATGAATGCAATTTCGACCAATCAGATGGCTGGATTAGTTAAGTGAGGTATATAATATTGATTATTATATAACCACATTTGATGTGCAATTTTTCAAAATGGAAACAAGAACTTATATCTTAAAACTGCCCTAGAGTGATATGAAGTTGACAATTCGCATCGTAGGCTAGACATTAACCCCCGCTTTTATTAAGTTCAATATCGTCCTTTTAGTTTGGCCTGGTCCCACTGGCCGATGGACACAAAACGTATGCATAAAGGACACAGCGGACGAGCAAAATTTCATCCGCTCCAGAAATGGACAAAATTGACGAAAATTTGCGAAAACAGAACGGAAAATAACGTAAGTGGGTAGTATGTAGCGGGGATGTTAAACGGATGTTCATCGGAAGCCTAGCGGATGAAAGCGGATGGAAGTGGATGACAGCTTTCAATACTGTCACAGCTATTTCCTCATGTGTTCACAAATTATTCAGAAAAACCGATCAAATGATAAGAATTTGCGGACTTTCAGCTACATCACAGTATATTTTTCTTTTACAAAAATGTCAGATTTGAGGATTTATGACGATTTTCCGAGAAGCCATTCAACAAGCCATAACATTCCACAGGGACTGAATTTCAGAGGGAAAAAAGTTTGATGACCCCAGTACAGTTGTGGCTACCTTGAGTGTAAACAACAAATTGATTCAATGAGTGAAACACATGAGGATATTGCATTTTTGTAGGGGAGTTTTATACATTGAGGTGCATTTTCACCACGCAGAATAGCAGCGCGAGTCAATGGGCGATCAGCGGGCCATGTCACACAATGGCTGAAAAGACAACATTCTAATTAAATCATTTAACATATTTCCCACATGCCTATAACAATGAAACTACACAGAATTGTAATTAAAGGTATGCTTGAAATATATGTGAAATAAAAATTTAAAAATATTGTTTAGTTTTTTTTTCCACCAAATTACTGACTGCTGTTGTGTGTGTGTGTTCGCGGGGCAGACTGTGTGCACAGGCAGTGTGATCACCCTAATATTACATATTCGTGTGTCCCACTTCCCGAATATGAGAAGATGAGAAGATTTCGGCACCTCACTGCCCTAATGACGTAACGTGATTGTTGCAGAAATATATTTTTCGGAAATCTTATGATGCCGTAAGAGGGGAACAGCAAACTGAAACACTTAAGGGTATTAACATGCAAAGGTGGTGACTCTTCTATACACGGGGCCTTCATTTAAAGTCCTGTCCGAGTTACGGGGTGTTTTGTTCTTCACTGTAAGCTACCTTTAATCTATGAAAAAGGTTTTGTTTTTCTTCTGGGTAAGTTTAAAACCCACGATATTTGGTTCAACAGAAAGACGCTTTACCTACTCAGCTTACTTGCCTCCTCGAGTGTTATTACATCATACACCCCGGGTTCTTCTTTTCCATCTTACGTCACGTGACAGCTATACCTCTCGTCATTGGTCCGTCGACCAACCTTTATAATTGATTAATGTCTAATCTATTCTTTTCAATTTCAGGTATACCACTATTCGTCGTGCTAATAGCAGCTGCAGTCAACATTGAAATCTACGACGGGGTCCTCATCAATTGTACATTCAGGTAACCATGATTACGATCGAAGCCTCAAGTATGGTTGTAAAAATGATGGTGCAATCATTTAACCCCCGGATTGGAGTAATCGATTACTAAATGTAATAATAGGATTAATGAGAGTTTAGAAAGTTTTGTTTTAATATGTGTTAGGCGCCGGTAAATTTCGTTTAATTTTCATGACGAATTTCAGTGATTCTTGTCATCTCATAAAGGCCAGATAAAAGTAATTCCTGGTTTCTCGTCTCCTCTTTCCCTTTCTTCGGCAGGCCTCATATTTCTTGTTACGTGGTACTTTTATTTTAAAATAAAATGATGAAAATCTGAGGGCATCTAGAGAATGGTGTTCACAAAAATTGTTAATAATGGCATTTCACCTTGTTTGTAGCAAAACTGCACAGCTGTTTTTCAGCATCTCTAATGCATGGAATTGAATTAACAAGATCTGTGTCAAACTTGACCGAATGGCATTTGCACGTACACAAACAAATTATCAAATATCAAGTAAAACTGAACCCCTTCCTCATTTTCAAAATATCTGACCGAGAATCTAAAAATCAATTCTACTTGGCCCTTATGTTATCCTATTTGAAGTTATATAGCATACCGATTATGATTCTATTCTATTGTATATCTAATTTCAAGTTGAGGAATAATATTCCGCGCCACACATACAATTAACGTATATTGGCGAGAGACTTCAAACGTCGTTACTGGCATTTGACAAGCTATCTACGTTTTTTTACGCTCGGTGGATGTTGCCAACTAATATTTATAAAAAATTGTCTATATACATTTAAAGTGGTTTCCCCATGGGGCACAGGGGACAGTGGACCCCCAAATTATTCTGATACCTAACACAGATATGTGCCCCGTTTCAAACATAAAAACATGTTCTATTCGTGAGAAATGCAAAAGAAAAAGCTAGTGATGCCATGCTCGTTCTATCTCTTTAATTCTCCAGCTGTCGTTTGAGTACCGTCGCGTTCTACGGTCTTTTCCTAACCCCGATGCTCATCATCGTCCTCTTCAACAGCATCGTATTTGGGCTCGTTCTCCGGGTTATCAGAAAAATATATAAAACAGGTAATCTATGAATCTAGGTCTGTTTTACTGTTGGTGAATCCAGGCTATGGCCGGAAAGAAGGGAGGGTTGGAAGTAAGGGAGTGTGGGGGTAAAAGTCATCAGATATTAGTCCCAAATTCCATGACAAATAGAAATAAACAGAAGGAGAAGCGGAGAAGAAGAAGGAGGAGGAAAGGAAGAAAACAAGAAGGAGAAGAACAAGAAGATGACAAAGAATAAAAGAAAGAAAGAAGAAGAAGAAGAAGAAAAATTATCATATTTTCAGGAATCGCTGCTTAAAGGAGTCACACCAAGAAGCAAAAGTGTATTGAATTGATGCAAAATTCATATCATTGCGAAGGGGAAGCCTTACTGATCAAATACAACAAATTTCCTCTTCAAAATATGTTTGGGGCCCGCAGAAATCAACTTTCAAAAATGTTAATTTTGAGATCCAGATTTACTGCCTTCAGCAGTCCTTCGTATGACGTCACTACTGTGACGTCACACCCTGGACACGGCTGTCTAGCTGCAGACTAATACACGCGCGACTCCGGTATGCGGCCGGTGCCGAGCTGTTTGTCCAGGGTGTGACGTCACTATTCAGAGCTCGCTACGCTCGAGTGTTTGGCTTACGTTCGGGGGCGCTTGGGGGTCTAAGAAGTGTCTTGAAAAATTGCATTTTACGCCTTTCCATGATATCTATATGATTTCTCAGCAAATTATTCGTGTTTTTCAAGAGAAAATCTTTCCATCCATATGTAATTTGTTCTAATTATCAGTTGTTAGTAAATTTTCTTTATGTAGCTCCTTTAAAGTAGTGTGATTTTGATGTCAACACCGTGTATCAGATTTCTTTAGATTTGTGTTTATAGCAAAACTGATTTTGCTTTGTTTTTATTCAGTTGTGATTGTCGCTCTCCTTCACACTCTTAGATGGTAAAAGACGCCATTGAATCAGTTGAAAGGTGCCGTTGCTCTCCTAGTCCTTCTTGGTATCTCATGGATCTTTGGCGCGGCGGCCGCCGTCAACTTCACAATCGTTCCGTCAGGATACGAACTCCAAGCTACGGCAAACACTTTTCAGGTCGGTTCACGTTGTAGATCGTCATTTTATAACCGCCCTTCTCTCCCACTTACTCTCTCTCCTCTCTCTCTCTCTCTCTCTTTCTCTCTCTTTCCTCTCTCTCTCTCGCTCTCTCTCTCTATCTCTCTCTCTCTCTCTCTCTATCTATCTCTCTCGCTCCCTCTCTTTCTCTTTCTCTCTCTTTCTCTCTCTCTCCTCTTCTCTCGACCCCCTCTCTCCATCCTTCTCTCTTTAAAACAAAATCTTTGTTTTCTGCTTCAATCCACTTCCCCTAATTCTCTGTTTCAGTTTTTTCTTTCATCCTTTTTTCTCTTTCTTTCTTCTTTATTTTCCCCCCCTCTTTTTTTCCCCTTTCAAAAGAATCTCGATCGCGTTCTCTCTTGCTCTCTTATCTTAATATTCTCTTTGTTTACCCGTCATTGTGAAGTATTGTCTCCTTCTTAATTTTAGATGTAGGCTATATTTTTCCAGTGATTTTTTTTCGTCACTCCTAAAAGTCGACGTTGCCATGGTTGCTGTATTTTGTCATTGTTTGTCTCCGAAATATTGGTCACCCGACTGGTTCAATTGAAATCATAGCTATTATTCTTAGGCGTTATTGAGGACTCTAGAAAATGCCTTTTGGGACATGTACGTCCTAAGATTATTTATTTTACAGAAGGCTATTGGCTATCTCGATACTAAAAATGTCAGGTCATCGTAGTCTTTAGGAAAATGATATGTTAGAAACCACAACTATTCCCCCAAATTTGTTTAATCTATATTTTGTTTTCCTCTCTCTCTCTCAGGCTCTCTTTGCAATCAGCGTTGCTTTCCAGGGCTTCTTCATTTTTATCTTCCATTGTGCAAGATACCCGGATATTAGGCAACAATGGTAAACGACTCTGACTCCGAAGAGATGCAGACGACAGAAGAGGAAATCCAGTTGCATTCCAACCGTGTCGACCGGTTCGGGGGTTGACGGCATTCAAGTTACGCGGTTATAGCAGGAACAGTTAGCGGTAAGGGAGAATGTGATGCGGTAAGCTTCGGCCATCATCGGTAAAACTATGGAACAGGATCTGACTGAGTGCTATCTTAACCGGTGTCACAACAAAAAAGAAACAATGTTTTCAGCCGTGTCTACCGGTTCGGGGAATGACGGTATCCAAGATGTGTGGTTAGCGGTTAGGGCTAAAGCGACGCGGTTATCTATTTGTCAGTGAAGCTAAACGAAAGGACCTGCTACTAAGACTCCGATTCTATACCCGCTTTCACGCGAGAAAGGAAATCAAAATGTATTGTAACCGTGCATGTGACCGGTCTGAATAACGTCATTATCAAGGACACGGGACTATCGCTGGAACTGTCAGTGGTTAGGGCTCAATTAGCGACAAGGTAACTACCTGCCAACCTCAATAAAATTAGGGAAGTGGAGCCGACATAATGCTACGTGACTCCGATCATTTACCGATGTAACAACAATGAAGAGTGTTGCATTCCAACCGTGCCTTCCGGTTCGGGAAACGACGTGAACCCGGTGACTCGATTAAGCACGAAATGTGAGCGGTTATAAACCTTCAAATATGACATTGTCCTTGAGTGTTTGCAACTAGTATAAGACCGGCAATGGAATTTAGTCAGTACTATTGACATTTTCGACAAATTATGTGTGCTATTTTTAAAGGGTTGTTGCACGCCGTCTATAGTCCAGATGCGACGTGGTATAAAAGGTACGGTGGGCGGTAGAGTATTTACATACCCAGTAACTGATAGCCGTGAGGGCAATTAGAGCAAACTCAAAACAGTTTTCTTCTGAAACTACGATTCCACATGAAGCTCAAAACTTTCAATAGAAAGCAATCGTTGACCCCTTCCATGTTTATTGGGCCTGCGAAGTGTCTGCCTTGAAAATTAGTTGATATCTATGAATTTCGACTAAGAAACGAACATCCGCAGATTGTAGTGTGTAACATCAACAACCGTGATTTAGTTAACGTCGACGGCGGATCCGCGGAAAAGTGGTGAAAGTTATTTGATAATCGATCGATTTAGCCAGTGACTTAAAATTGTAGTTGAGTAAAATTGTACGTTTTATACTACATGCAGTGCATTGTAACTTTGTATAGTATATAAATAGTATACTCTTGGTATATAATGCCATGCAGAACACATATGCTGTTGTTGTTGTTGTTTTCCTTAGTAGGTTTTACAATACACCAGTTTACGGTAACAACAGTGCGCATGCGCAGACATGGGCGCCATTTTAACTTACGGGTTTACGCGTAAATTAAGACGGCGCCCATGCAAATATTATGTGAGCGCACAGCGCAGGCAGTGACGCAACAATACATGCGCATCTGAAAACATTGATGACACTACCTGCGCTGTGCGCTCACATGATATTTGCATGGGTGCTATCTTAATTTACGCATAAACTACTGACCTCTAGAGGTCAATGGTTTGTTTACCCGTAAATTAAAACGGCGCCCATAACCGTAAACCATCAGGGCCTATACATGCATGTAAGAAACGAAATTCCCTGGATATTCGGATCGTATGGGCCTATACCTCCATCAATTATGTTAACGTTGTGTTTTGATTGTGAATTAACAATCGCCATGAAGTAGATGCTGACGAAAGATACTGTCAATGAAATTATGTTATTTTGTAAGGGTTACCCGTCAAACGTTGAAAATAAGTGGCAATAGGTCAATTATTCTCCTTAACGAAATGAGAAGGATCACTTTTATACATGAACTCTGCAATTGATTTATCAACAGCGCCCTCTTGTGTGTCTAAATCAATCATCATGGTGT